TGATTGGTCATCCACAAAGAAACTGGAGGCTCCAGGAATGAAATGGTGTCTGGCCAAGAATTTGCTTTTTAATGCTATTCCTCCTTGCCTACTCTACGACTTAGTTCCAGCAATTAATCCATCTTTCTTTCTTTCTTTTCTTTTTTTTTTCCTTTTTGTCTTTTTTCGTGTCCGGCAACGGATGACCAGCAACGGATCGCAACCCTCAGTGTCGCGCCCGTACCGGACCGGGACCAGCAACGGGATCGCAAACCTCGGTGCTACGCCCGCACCTCGCTCAGCCAGTGAGCGGGAACCGGTCTGTATGTGGGATCCGAACCCTCGGCAGGAGCACCACCGCACTCCCAAGCGGCGCACTGTAGCATGCGCCACCGGGCCGGCCCCTTAATCCGGGGAGCGCCACCGCACTCCCAAACGGCGCACTGTAGCAGTGCGCCACCGGGCCGGCCCCTTAATCCATCTTTCTGCATCAATTCTTTATCATCTTCTGACTCTCTACCAAAGTATTCCCAGGGAACATAATATGCTGTAATACCTCCTGTCTTTAAAGAAAATAATTTCTCCTAGACTTCATGTTCCCCTCCAGCTACAACTCACCTTTTCAATAAAACTTCTCAAGAGTTGTCTATATTTATGGCTTCACCACTGAATTCTACCAAACCCTTAAAGAGGAATTAACACCAATTCTTCTCAAACTATTCAAAAAAATTGAAACAGAGACCATTCGCCCAAATTCTATGAGGCCAGCATCACCATGATACCAAAACCAGACAAAGATAAAACAAAAAAAGGAAGCTACAGGCCAATATCCTTGATGAACATAGACACAAAAATCCTCAAGAAGATATTAGCAATCACAATACAACAGCACATCAAAAAAATTATATGCCATGATCAAGTGGGATTCATCCCAGGGTTGAAAGGATGGTTCAACATATGTAAATCAATAAATGTGATATATGACCAAGGGCAAAACCATATGATTATCTCAATAGATGTAGAAAAAACATTTGATAAAATTCAGTATCCCTTCATGATAAAGACTCTCAACAAATTAGGTATAGACAGAAAACATCTCAACATGATAAAAACCATATATGACAAACCCACCACCAACATCATCCTAAATTGGGAAAAACCAAAGGCTTTTCTTTAAGAACAGGAACAAGACAAGGATGCCCATTTCCACCACTTCTATTCAACATAGTTTTGGAAGTATTAGCCAGAGCAATGAGGCAAGAGAAAGAAATACAGGGCATCCAAATTGGAAAAGATGAAGTCAAACTGTCACTGTTCACAGGTAAAATGATTCTATAAAAAGAAACTCTCATAACCTCTACCAAAACTTCTAGAGCTGATAAATGAATTCAGTAAAGTTACAGGACACAAAATGAATACACAAAAATCAGTAGCATTCTTATACCCCAAAAACGAACAAGCAGAAAAAGAAATTAAGAAAGCAAGCCGATTTATGATAGCTACCAAACGCATAAAATACCTAGGAATAAATTTAACCAAAGAGGTTAAAGATCTCTACAAAGAGAACTACAAAATTCTGCTGAAAGAAATTAAAGAGGACACCAAAAGATGGAAAGACATTTTTTGTTCATGGATTGGAAGAATTAAGGTGGTGAAAATGTCTATACTACCCAAAGTGATCTACAGATTCAATGCAATCCCCATCAAAATACCAAGGACATTCTCCACAGAAATAGAAAAAACAATCCTAAAAATCATATGGAACAACAAAAGACCCCAAATAGCCAAGCAATCCTGAGCAAAAAGAAATAAAACCATAGGCATTACACTACCCAACTTCAAATTATACTACAAAGCTATAACAACCAAACAGCATAGTGCTGGCATATAAAACAGACACAGACAAATGGAACAGAATACAGAACTCAGAAATCAACTCACATACTTACAGCCAACTGATCTTCAACAAAGGCACCAACAATACACATTGGGGAAAAGACAGCCTCTCAGTAAATGGTGCTGGAAAAACTGGATGTGCATGTGCAGAAGAATGAAACTAGACCCGTACCTCTCACCACATACCAAAATCAACTCAAAATGGATTAAAGACTTAAATATAAGACCTGAAACTATAAAACTTTTAAAAGAAAACATAGGGGAAACACATTAGATGTAGGACTGTGCAAAGACTTTATGAATAAGACCCCAAAAGCACAGGCAACAAAAGAAAAAGTAAAAAAGTGGGATTATATCAATATTAAAATCTTCTTCAGAGCAAAGGAAACAATCAACAGCACTCTACAGACAACCTACAGAATGGAGAAAATATATGAAAACTATACATCTGACAAGGGATTGATATGCAGAATATACATGGAACTCAAACAACTTCACAGTAAAAAACCAAATAATCCACTTAAAAAATGGGCAAAGGAGCTGAATGGACATTTTTCAAAGGAAGACATACAAATGGCCAACGGGTATATGAAAAAATCCTCAACATCACTAATCATCACGGAAATGCAAATCAAAACTACTCTGAGATATCATTTCACCCCAGCTAGACTGACTATTATCAAAAAGACTGAGAATAACCAATGCTGGTGAGGATGTGGAGAAAAGGGAACTCTTCTATATTGTTGGTGGGATTGTAAATTAGTACAACCACCATGGAAAACAGTATGGTGGTTTCTCAAACAACTACAAATAGAACTACCATATTATCCAGCAATCCCACTTCTGGGTATATACTCAAAGGAATGGAAATCATCACGTTGAAGGGATACCTGCACTCCCATGTTCATCGCAGCTCTATTTGCAATAGCCAAGACATGGAACCAACCTAAATGTCCATCAATGGACAATAAGATAAGGAAAATGTGGTAAATATACATAATGGAAACTACTCAGCCATAATAAAGAATGAAATTCTGCCAGTCACAGCAACATGGATGAGCTTGGAGAAAATTATGTTAAGTAGAATAAGCCAGGCACAGAAAGAGAAATACCGCATGTCCTCACTCGTAAATGGGAGCTGAGAAACAAAGTGGGAGCTAAAGAAAGAAAGACCACAATAAAATGTTAAACTTTCTGAAGGAGAGAACAGACCTATAGATACTAGAGGTGGGAAAGGAGGAGGAAGTGGGATAGGGAGTGATTGGGTAAGGGATACAAAAAGTAATTATAATTTGTAATGATGAATGTGCTAACAATATTGATTTGATCATCACAAACTGTACACAGATACTGATAGTCAACTCTGTACTCAATAAATATATATAAATAAAAATAATTTTTTAAAAGAGTTGTCTATATTCAGTCTCTACTTCCTCACCTTCCATATTCTCCTCAAATCACTCCAGTCACATCTGATCATACT